CTAAATGTCTGTTAGACCGTACGTTCTCAGAGATATTTAAAGAAGAAGCTCTTGGCTACTGTACTTCAGGAAATCAAAGCCAAAAGGTCAATTGGTCAATGAAATTATATTCCTTCTTGAATTTTCGGAAATAAAGTGCTATGTGTTCTATGAGATGGGGGCCTAGATAGCGTCTACTATAGTACAGAGTAAACTGACAGTGGAGACTTATGCTGCTTCAGTTTCACGCTAGCAAGTACTAACAATACGATCACTTATCATTAGGAAACAAAATATGGGCAAAAATTTATGATATTTAGAAGAATAAGCCTTCATCAATTGTGTTTCAGACCGTTCCTTTTATCATCACTATATCACCTATTACACCTAACCTAATATACCTGTACACCTACCCATTGCCCTTTCCTAGTATACCCTGAACAATTACACATTTACCTTGTATACCCATTACCCCTAACCCTGATCTAATATACTCTGACTCATTTCTCATTAAGCTGATCTAGTATACCTCCACCCATTACCCAATACACCTTACTTAGCATACCCTTTCTAATAATTCCTGATTTTTTTTTCAAATTCATTTGATTTTTCGTCTTACTAGCTATTAGGATCTTCTCATGAAGAATTCAAAGTCTTCATGACATTCAAGAGTTTTGGAAAGTATGCAAGATATTATTTAAGTATTTTGATCGTTTCAACCAAAGTATAGCACTATAATTTCTGTTAGCATTTTATTAAATGTGTTTTAATGAAGAGTTCTTTCCGCTATTTGGTAACACTGAAAAAAAGACTAAGTGTAACAGAAAAAAAAACGTTTTGGGGGTCGTGTTTTCTATACGATTTGGGTCATTTCCTATCCAAAAAAATGGGTCAAATTTTGGTCATTTTGTATTTTGTATTATTACTGAACGTTTTCAACGGTATTTGGTAACGTGAAGTGCGGGAAATGGTAACCTAAGCTCATTGAAACCATTTCTAATGGGCATAACAAATGGATAAGAGCATTATTGGGTCAATGGGTTCGTAATTTTTCACATGCAGGAAGATGACACCCTTGGCTTCAATAGTTTTTGAAAACAAAGCAAATGAGTGATTTGGTAACTTAGAGCGTTATTTAGTAACCTAAAGCGATAATTGGTAACTTGTGCGGGATTTGGTAACTTGTGCGGGAAATGGTAACCTAGAGCGGGATTTGGTAACGGTGTAGCGATAATTGGTAACTTGTGCGGGATTGGGTAACTTGCGCGGGATTTGGTAACTGCCCTAACCTATCTCCCCTTTGACTGGGTTTAAGGGCAATCGTTAACTACGTGGGGCTGCAGGGTCTTCATCTGTATCAGGTAGTTAAAAATGGTGTTCCAACGAGGGTCCCAAGTACGAATTATATGAGCAAGCGTTAAATGGTAACTTAGAGAGCGGGATTTGGTAACTAACCCTAACCTATCTCCCGTTTGACTGGGTTTAAGGGCACTCGTTAACTACGTGGGGCTGGAGGGTCTTCATCTGTATAAGGTACTTAAAAATGGTGTTCAAACGAGGGTCCTAAGTATGAATTATGTATGAATTATATGAGCAAGCGTTAAATGGTAACTTAGAGCGGGATTTGGTAACTAACCCTAACCTATCTCCCGTTTGACTGGGTTTAAGGGCACTCGTTAAGTACGTGGGGCTGGAGGGTCTTCATCTGTATCAGGTAGTTAAAAATGGTGTTCCAACGAGGGTCCTAAGTATGACTTATGTATGAATTATATGAGAAAGCGTGATTTGGTAACTTAGAGAGTGGGATTTGGTAACTAACCCTAACCTATCTCCCGTTTGACTGGGTTTAAGGGCAATCGTTAACTACGTGGGGCTGCAGGGTCTTCATCTGTATCAGGTAGTTAAAAATGGTGTTCCAACGAGGGTCCCAAGTACGAATTATATGAGCAAGCGTTAAATGGTAACTTAGAGAGCGGGATTTGGTAACTAACCCTAACCTATCTCCCGTTTGACTGGGTTTAAGGGCACTCGTTAAGTACGTGGGGCTGGAGAGTCTTCATCTGTATCAGGTAGTTAAAAATGGTGTTCCAACGAGGGTCCTAAGTATGAAGTATGTATGAATTATATGAGCAAGCGTGATTTGGAAACTTAGAGCGGGATTTGGTAACGGTATAGCCGGATTTGGTAACAAAGCGGGATTGGGTAACTTGTGCCGGAAATATTGACTTGATTTCATTTGAATCCTATTTTACGGGCATAGGGCATTGAGAAGAGTACCTAAATGTCTGTTAGACCGTACGTTCTCAGAGATATTTAAAGAAGAAGCTCTTGGCTACTGTACTTCAGGAAATCAAAGCCAAAAGGTCAATTGGTCAATTAAATTATATTCCTTCTTGAATTTTCGGAGATAAAGTGCTATGTGTTCTATGAGATGGGGGCCTAGATAGCGTCTACTATAGTACAGAGTAAACTGACAGTGGAGACTTATGCTGCTTCATGTTCACGCTAGCAAGTACTAACAATACGATCACTTGTTATTAGGAAACAAAATATGGGCAAAAATTTATGATATTTAGAAGAATAAGCCTTCATCAATTGTGTTTCAGACCGTTCCTTTTATCATCACTATATCACCTATTACACCTAACCTAATATACCTGTACACCTACCCATTGCCCTTTCCTAGTATACCCTGAACAATTACTCATTTACCTTGTATACCCATTACCCCTAACCCTGATCTAATATACTCTGACTCATTTCTCATTAAGCTGATCTAGTATACCTCCACCCATTACCCAATACACCTTACTTAGCATACCCTTTCTAATAATTCCTGATTTTTTTTTTTCAAATTCATTTGATTTTTCGTCTTACTAGCTATTAGGATCTTCTCATGAAGAATTCAAAGTCTTCATGACATTCAAGGGTTTTGGAAAGTATGCAAGATATTATTTAAGTATTTTGATCGTTTCAACCAAAGTATAGCACTATAATTTCTGTTAGCATTTTATTAAATGTGTTTTAATGAAGAGTTCTTTCCGCTATTTGGTAACACTGAAAAAAAGACTGTGTAACAGAAAAAAAAACGTTTTGGGGGTCGTGTTTTCTATACGATTTGGGTCATTTCCTATCCAAAAAATGGGTCAAATTTTGGTCATTTTGTATTTTGTATTATTACTGAACGTTTTCAACGGTATTTGGTAACGTGAAGTGCGGGAAATGGTAACCTAAGCTCATTGAAACCATTTCTAATGGGCATAACAAATGGATAAGAGCATTATTGGGTCAATGGGTTCGTAATTTTTCACATGCAGGAAGATGACACCCTTGGCTTCAATAGTTTTTGAAAACAAAGCAAATGAGTGATTTGGTAACTTAGAGCGTTATTTAGTAACCTAAAGCGATAATTGGTAACTTGTGCGGGATTTGGTAACTTGTGCGGGAAATGGTAACCTAGAGCGGGATTTGGTAACGGTGTAGCGATAATTGGTAACTTGTGCGGGATTGGGTAACTTGCGCGGGATTTGGTAACTGCCCTAACCTATCTCCCCTTTGACTGGGTTTAAGGGCAATCGTTAACTACGTGGGGCTGGAGGGTCTTCATCTGTATAAGGTACTTAAAAATGGTGTTCAAACGAGGGTCCTAAGTATGAATTATGTATGAATTATATGAGCAAGCGTTAAATGGTAACTTAGAGCGGGATTTGGTAACTAACCCTAACCTATCTCCCGTTTGACTGGGTTTAAGGGCACTCGTTAAGTACGTGGGGCTGGAGGGTCTTCATCTGTATCAGGTAGTTAAAAATGGTGTTCCAACGAGGGTCCTAAGTATGACTTATGTATGAATTATATGAGAAAGCGTGATTTGGTAACTTAGAGAGCGGGATTTGGTAACTAACCCTAACCTATCTCCCGTTTGACTGGGTTTAAGGTCAATCGTTAACTACGTGGGGCTGCAGGGTCTTCATCTGTATCAGGTAGTTAAAAATGGTGTTCCAACGAGGGTCCCAAGTACGAATTATATGAGCAAGCGTTAAATGGTAACTTAGAGAGCGGGATTTGGTAACTAACCCTAACCTATCTCCCGTTTGACTGGGTTTAAGGGCACTCGTTAACTGCGTGGGGCTGGAGGGTCTTCATCTGTATAAGGTACTTAAAAATGGTGTTCGAACGAGGGTCCTAAGTATGAATTATGTATGAATTATATGAGCAAGCGTTAAATGGTAACTTAGAGCGGGATTTGGTAACTAACCCTAACCTATCTCCCGTTTGACTGGGTTTAAGGGCACTCGTTAAGTACGTGGGGCTGGAGGGTCTTCATCTGTATCAGGTAGTTAAAAATGGTGTTCCAACGAGGGTCCTAAGTATGACTTATGTATGAATTATATGAGAAAGCGTGATTTGGTAACTTAGAGAGCGGGATTTGGTAACTAACCCTAACCTATCTCCCGTTTGACTGGGTTTAAGGGCAATCGTTAACTACGTGGGGATGCAGGGTCTTCATCTGTATCAGGTAGTTAAAAATGGTGTTCCAACGAGGGTCCCAAGTACGAATTATATGAGCAAGCGTTAAATGGTAACTTAGAGAGCGGGATTTGGTAACTAACCCTAACCTATCTCCCGTTTGACTGGGTTTAAGGGCACTCGTTAACTACGTGGGGCTGGAGGGTCTTCATCTGTATAAGGTAGTTAAAAATGGGGTTCCAACGAGTGTCCTAAGTATGAATTATGTATGAATTATATGAGGAAGCGTGATTTGGTAACTTAGAGCGGGATTTGGTAACGGTATAGCGGGATTTGGTAACAAAGCAGGATTGTGTCACTTTTGCCGGAAATGTTGACTTGATTTTATTTGAATAAGCTACATGCTTCAGTACATCTATTTTAAATTATGATTTTCGGTATAATAGATATGTATATAATTAAAAAAATGGAAGAAGTAGCGTATAATGGAAGAAGTGTCGGAAATTTTGCTTCCAACAGTCATTTGCTTTTAGAATTACAATCATAACATCTACCTTTGGAGAGTCAGAATCAGGGGTAGGGTTAGGGTTTGAACTACCTTCCTCAGTACCTGTCTGCGATATCTAGAATATAAGAAAATATTTCACCGACATTTTAAAAAGAAAATAAAACATTTTCACCGAAGGAAAATGCCAAGAAATAAAGACAAGTGCATTAAGATATATCTCTTGAATGGAGCTCGTCTGTGCAATCTGTTTGATAGTTCTTATTGCCTAAATAAAAGAAAACAGGATTTTTGAGCATCCTTAACTGTACAAATTTGAATGTACACTATCTGAGGATGCTTCCACATAAGTTTCATCTTTCCTGGCCCTTTGGTTCTTGAGAAGAAGATTTTTAAATGATGCTTTTATTTTTTCACTAATTTCTAATTATCTCCCCTTGAAAGAGGGCATGGCCCTTCATTTGAACAAACTTGAATCCCCTTCGGATACTTTGTGGTAAGTTTGATTGAAATTAGCCCAGTGGTTATTGAGAAGAAGTCGAAAATGTGAAAAGTTTACACACAGACAGATGGACAAACAGACGGACAGACAGACGGACAGACAGACGGACGCCGGACAACATGTGATCAGAAAAGCTCACTTGAGCTTTCAACTCAGGTGAGCTAAAAAAAATATTTGACATTTGAAGGTTATTTACGAAGTCAATCCAATAACAGATTTGTATTGGAGAGAAAGGAGGTGTCATCTAATAGGTCTTCATTGCATAACGCATCACTGAATTTGCATATGCAATATTGCTAGGCCAGGAATGTACATTGATTCTGACCAAGAATTGTGTTTTCAAATCAGAATTGAAGCACAGTTCTTAAATTCCGATAAGAGAAAAGGGGATTTGCTTTAAAAAATAGTATTCCTTGTGAAAATGAACATAATATATTCCAAACAACTAAAGGTTTTATTTGCTGGAGTTTATTAAATAAGTAAGCTTATCAAATTAAAATTGGAACCTTTGATCCACTCCCATAATAGATCCTTGTGTAGCCATTACAGGAGTGGATGAAAGAATCTAGTTTTTATAGATTGGTTATTGAGCACACAGTATATGTGCAATGTACTTAATTTTTTTTTTTTTTGAGGAACCCATACTCTTGCACATTTTGCACTGTCTGTAGTCTGTTTGTAGCCAAGAAATGAATTCTACTACTACTCCATTATACAAAATTTCTTTAAAATTTGAATATATTTAACACAAATACATATATTTGTATTTTACTTGCAGTGAAACCAGATTAATGGATGGAAGACGACTGAGAAGTGGGCGAAAACAAACTCGTTATAAACTCCATAGAGAACGTCTTCGAAAGCCTTGAAAGATTTGAGTTTAAATTTGACATTGGTCAAGTAAAAGATGGATTTCTAGCCACGTTTAGGAGTCTTATGTGCTATGTTTCCTTTCGAGAGGTTAAGTACATGCTGTTCAACTGGAAGGATACACCAGCTAGACCATTCTGGCTGGAAGAATTTACGCAATGTAAATGTAGAGAGGATGTTCTGTACTCGAACAGGTGCAGGACGAGGAAATACATAGCTTTCCTTGATGAACTGGCTAATTATCTCACAAAAATTGAAACTTTAATACTGCCATTTGATTGGTCTTGCATGAAAAACATTGAAAATGTCACTAGACTAACCCTTTATTCAAGAAAAATGAAGATACCAACCTACTGCTAGGAACCTCTTCCACTGTTTCCACACTCTTCCTATAAATAGCATAAAAATTTACTATCAACAACAAACAAGTGATTCATTTGTCAAAATCATTTTCATTGTTAAGATCTGAAAAGTATTGCAAATGTGAATATACTCAGCCATAAATACAAGCTTCTCTAACTGTTTCCATTCTTCTGATTTCCTGATCTTCTCTACCTAAATGTCACAAAACACTTCAGCAAATTTAAAAAAATATATTCAGCTTTAATCAATTCTGCTTCAGACCGTTCTTTTCATCATCACTATATCCTCTATTACCCCTGACCAAGCATACCAAGACACCTAACCACTACTGTTTTCCTAGTATACCCTGAACAATTTTAAATTTACATAGTACACCCATTACTCCTAATCCTGACCAAATATATCCGAACTATTTTCCCATTAGTCTCACCTAATATACCTCTACGCATTACCCATTAAACCCTTCCTCATACTCACTATTCTTTTTTTCAAATTCAATTGATTTTCGTCCTACCAGTTAGAAGGTCCTTTTCATCGAGAATTCACAGTAAGATTATTACCATTTGGCATTAATTTACGAATTTTATTTGAAACATCAACGAAAATCCTGAAATAGTTTCCAACGGTATTTGGTAACTCCAAGTGCGGGAAATGGTAACATAAACTCATTGAAGGCATTTCTAATGGGTATGCCAAATGGATCAAGGGATTATAGCGTCAATGGGTTCATTATATTTAACATGCAGGGAGATGATACCCTTTGCTTCAATAGTTTACCAAATCAAAGCAAATGAGTGATTTGGTAACTCAGAGCGTTATTTGGTAACCTAAAGCGATAATTGGTAACTTGTGCGGGATTGAGTAACTTGTGCGGGAAATGGTAACCTAGAGCGGGATTTGGTAACGATATAGCGGGAATTGGTAACAAAGCCGTATTGGGAAACGTGCGGAAAACGGTAATCTGATTGAATTTCAATATTTTCTATGGGGAAGGAAAGAAAAAGAGTACTAGAATGTCAACTTGGTTGTTATATGTTCTGTGCGATTGGATAAAAGGGTGGGAAATGGTAACCAAGAGTTTGTGCATTAAATGGTTACTAAAATAACAGTATTCGTTCAGATGCCTCTTAGATTATTAAATGGAATTGCCGAAGCTGAGTGACTAAGATGACAATAAAACTACGGATTATTTTAACCCTAATCCTTACTTAACTGTACAAAATCCTTGCTTATTTGAGAAATGCCTAAATTTTATGAGCAAAGAATTCCTGCTTTTATTCACTTTTACCCATAATGTTTAAGAAAGGAATGCTTATTTTTACTGTGATCAATGAATTCCTGCAGTTACTGAATTAGTCTAACCCTTATCTTTAAGAACAAAAGAAACGTTTGTGTGATATTCAGATGCTTAATTCTTAATCAAATGTGATTCAGAATGGTGGTGCTGTATCATCACTATATCACTTGATAGCCCTTTGTGAAACCTTGCAAGGTGCAGCTGTCACCCATCCAAGTACTGATCATGCTTGACGTTGTTTAACCTGCATCATCAAGACGAGGGACATGTCGCATAGCCAGAAATGCTATCTTACTTGTAAATCAGTATAAGTTCCTTTTATATTTCAGCTATTTTTTTGGGGTTTCATTATTTTTTATTTGGACAAATGACATACACTTAAACAATTACAATGTGGTTTATGATACACACTGAATTAAAAAATACTAATGGGAAAAGTTTAAATTTTTAATTTTCTCAAATTATCTCCGGTATTTTTATCAAAGCTATGCAATGGAAGTAAGCTGATTTTTCCAAGGATGCAGTGGGTTAGGATATGCATCTTTTTTCAGCTGCGTCCATGATACTTTCCCTACAAACAGTTCAAATGATTATTCAGCTGTAGTGCAAATAAAATCAAATTTAAAGTCATACAAGTATGATTGTGCTCACAAACCTTTTATCATCACTTGGGTCTGTAAGGTCCTCCAGGTGTAGAGAAGGTACACATTCATCACTACAAAATGAAGATATATGGATAATTGAAGAAATATATTTCTATACGATTGAATTAATGCTTCAAAATTCAACCTACGTCGTAAAGTTGTCCACAACTTTGGGACTTTGGAAGTGGAGGTACTCAATGCGCACTCTTTTGGAGATGTGGTGCGTCCTCCGCAGATGGTCCCCAAAGCGCACAATGGCCTTGTTGCACAAAATAAATTGGCAAACAATGTAACGCCCTGTAACTGTTATTTAGGAAAAAACATTGTTAAAAAATAAGTTCATTTTTTTCTTCATCATGATTTTATCCTTAAAAGATCACGGTTAGCAAACTTATATTCTTGTTTCCCTTAGATGTATCAACTGCAAATTATAGAATATCTCCGATATTATTAGATATTATAGAATATCTAGGTCAGATTCATTACCAGAGAAACAAGGATCTTTATTTCCCTGGGACTCCGCCACATCAGCTTCCATCTCTACTAAAAGGAATCACAAAATGCTCCAGTTTTTACAAAATGCAACTCGATAAGATGATATGAAGGAGAAATAAATGATATAAATATTAAATACCATAAAATTAAAAAAAATCAATATATATTTGGTGTCTATTATCAAAAGGAGACAAAACCTGTGCGAGAAATGGTAACCTATAGTGGTGTTTTGGACGCGTAGAAGAGTTCCAAACACAAAAGAGCTCCAAACACAGAAGAGTTCCACTAAAAACGGATTTTTTTTTCCGGAATATTGCAATCCGGAAAAAATAATTTCCGGTTTCAGGGATTTTTGCTAACAAAATGTTAGATATCTTAATTAACCCTCTTTCACTTTCTTGATTAACTTTATATGCGATTTGATGTACGAAAATTCAAATGACTACATGTAATACCTGCATCGGAATGGAGAGACTCTATACCTTTTTCCTCACTCATACCAATTCCTTAAAAAAAGAAACTATTCTTTACTAATAAAAATTTTAATATCTAGTTTTATTTGTGTTTGAGTGCGATATTCTTTTATTGATTGAGGAGAATTTGCAACACATTCCTCTACATTAAGCAAACAACTATTTTTTTATCTCTATTCATTTATAAAGAACAAAAAGAAAACAAATAAGAATAAATGATAACTTGTGCGGGAAATACTTACCTTGACCGGACTTAAGAATTGGTGTAGCGGGATTTTGTAACAAAACTTGTGCGAGAAATGGTAACCTATAGTGGGGTTTTTGACGCGCAGAAGAGTTCCAAACACAAAAGAGCTCCAAACACAGAAGAGTTCCAAACACAAAAGAGCTCCAAACACAGAAGAGTTCTAAACACAAAAGAGCTCCAAACACAGAAGAGTTCCAAACACAAAGGAGCTCCAAACTCAGAAAAGTTCCAAACACAGAAGAGTTCCAAACACAGAAGAGTTCCACTAAAAACGGATTTTTTTCCCCTGAATATTGCATTCCGGAAAAAAATTCCGGTTTCAGGGATTTTTGCTAACAAAATGTTAGATATCTTAATTAATCCTCTTTCACTTTCTT